GGAGCACGGGCTCCGGACGCGCAGGCTCAGCGGCCGTGGCTCACGGGCCCAGCCGCTCCGCGGCACGTGGGATCTTCCCGGACCGCGGCGCGAACCTGCGTCCTCTGAATCGGCAGGCGGACTCTCAACCACTGCGCCACCAGGGAAGCCCTGTTATTATTTTTTAAATAATTTTATTTATTGATTTACTTTGGCTGTGCCGGTTCTTAGTTGCAGCATGTGGGATCTTTAGTTGAGGCATGCAGGCTTCTTAGTTGCAGCATGTGAACTCTTAGTTGTGGCATACATGCAGGATCTAGTTCCCCAACCAGGGATCAAACCCAGGCCCCCTGCATTGGGAGCACAGAGGCTTACCCACTGGACCACCAGGGAAGTCCCTGTAAGTGGTGTTTAAAACACTGTATGTCGTGCACGGAAACCCCGGGAGGCTGTTAGGTGCTAAGAGTATTTTGGTAATATTTGGAGAAGTTAGTTGGGGTTTTCGGAGGGGCTGGGAATGCTTCCCCCCCTTACTTGAAATCACAGAATACACACTCCCCCTGTTTTCAGGATGGATTGGATTCTGACACAAAGGATACCTATAATGGTAGCTGCCATTATTGAGCACCTACTGTGTGCTGAGTTCCACATTAAGCATTTCACATACGTTACCTACGTGCCCTCTCAACAGCCCTGCAGTGTGGGCACCCAGCATCTTCTGGGGCTGTTCTGATGCTGAGAGGGGCCAGGTTTGGGGATGAGGGAACCAGAGGGGGCAAGGTCAGATGTTGACCTTCCCGTGGAAGCTACGGATGGGGCAGTTGCCAGAGTTGAGACTGATGAAATGAAACCATTGTGTGCAGGGTCTGGAAGTGGGGAAAGGGCGGGACCTGGGGTAAGGACGGCCCAGTGCTGAGCTCTCAGGACTGCTGTGCAGGCTCCGACCAGAGCACGCAGGGGCTGGTGGGGGAGACTGGGCAGGGCTGGAGCTGTAGTAACCTGGCAGAGAGAGGGTCAGCCTGGCAGCGAGGACCTGAGGACCCTGGAGACTGATGGTCAGGGCTGGGCCAGGGTCCTACCCTCCAGCTGAGTCCACTATCTGGTTGCTGGGGTCTGGGTGGAGGTCTGACCTGGCAACCTAGGGTTAAAAGGTCGCTAATCTGACCTGGGCGGGGGGCGGAGGATGGGCATCAGTCCTGCCACGTGACCACCACTGTGAGCCCACCAGGCCCACTGCCAAGAGAGCATGAGTGAGCAGGAGAGGGAGACAGAGGAGGATGAGGGAGGGGGCGCTTCAGACACGGCACCCATGCTGCCCCGAAGGCTTCCTGACCGCCAGGCCTCAGACCTGATGTCCCCAGGGTGGGCAGGCCTGGCTGCCCAAGGCCTGGGGGTCCTGCTGCTGCCGGGTCGGGCCCTGGCTGGGCTCGTTCTCCATCTGCTGCTGCCCGCAGCCGTGTTCCTGCTGCTGCTGCTGCCCGCAGCCACCACTGTGTACCTGGGATTCCTGTGCCACTCGAGGGTGAGCTGAGCCGTCCACGGGCGCGGGGCTGAGGGACTGTCTGGGGTCCTTGGGGAGTGCAGGTCCCTGGAGGCACGTGTGCCCCTCCCTAAAGAGCTCCTTCTCCTGCCAACCCCCCCCCACTAGCCACAGCAAAAGAAGGGCTTTTGTTTGCCACCCAAGGGGAAGGCTCTCTCCCCTCCCCTGAGGCCTCTCAGCCTTGTACCAGGAGCCGCCAGGGCCTGGACAGCTGGACAGGGTGGGAAGAGGAGGAGGGTTCCACGAAGAGAAGATAAAGATATTGTCAGATTTAAGCAGCCCACGGTCCCCGTCCTCCCAGCCCCCCACACAGCCCCCCTGAAGACCTCTCCTCCCCTGGGATGGGCCCCCCACGTATGGAAGGGGTTATGGCTTGGTCTGGGATAGGGAGGGTATAGGCAGATGGGCCTCTTTCTGCCCATCTGGGGAACGGGGGGCCGGCGGAAGGGGGCCGAACGCTGGGCCGCAGTAGACAAGGTGGCGCCAGCCGGCAACACGCCAGGGTAGGGCCTCGGGGGTCAGATGCCAACTTAGGAAAGGGCCATGGGAGAGCAGAGAGAGCTATTCTCTGAGGCTCCCCTCAAGGGGCTCCTACTCGGGCCATTTACCGCCTGGGTCTCCATCTCCCATCCTCGGCTCAGAAATGCCTGGCTCACAGCCAGCCCCAGCCGCCCCCCCCC